AGTACTCGTGAATATCGATTACACTTTTGCAATCTAATAAACGCTGTAAAATTAACGTTGTTCAATGATTTATTCCCCAATAATAGTTACACCCTTTGGTGTAAATGGAGTATAACACTGGTAGTGGTGTAGCTTATCCAAAACACGCCACAATTACACCACAATTATTCAGTAGTCATGAATATCGGTTACACTTGTTAGGTGTAGTTCTTTTAGTTGGTTACCCTTGGAAAGGTATTACATTAAAAAAACGCTAGCTGTGGTATAAAGTTTACACTTAACACTGCTCGCAGTATTTTATTACACTCATTTTTAAACAGTGTACGTGATATGTGGTGAGGGGGGGAGGGATTGCCGAATGGTTAGCACGTGCGCGCTGTATCATAAGGTCTGTCATTGAGTCAACTGGCGTGGTTTCAATTCCCCGGATGCATGTGACAAGGAGTGGGGTCACATGTTAGTCCCGAAATGACCTAGTTTGTGTCGAGTGGATGTTAAGAACTCTCTCCCTCTCCTTTTGTAACACTTTCTATTTGATATAATACATCGGTTAATGTATATTTATATAGTATCAACAAATTCTATCTGACATTAAATTAAATCAGCTGTTATATCTTATGTATATATATGCCGAGTAAACGACCCCCACCCCCCCCCCCACCCACCTCTCCCTCTCTCTCTCTCTCTCTCTCTCTCACACACACACACATACACACACTGCACTTCTGATAAAAGAAGACGCTCATAAACCAAAGGACATAATACATATTACCATAATGAACGATTTCGTCACAACAATTTCAGTGATTTATTGTATAGAATAATAGTATTCTAGGTCGAACATCCAGGTTACAATAAACATACCGCTAGCATAGGCGTACGGGGGAATTTTTGACTGGGGGGGCGGTGGTGGTTGGTGCCCCAAAAATGTAGTTAGGTTCTTAGCATGTTACATAATAATAATAATATCTCTTTTGCGATGAATAAGTTCTTAATTTCTAAATCATCAATAAATTTTATTTACTTGTAATATACACAACTAAAAACAGTTGTTTATGTAACTGTAACTCGTGGCTTACTGTACTCCAAACAATAGAGGGTATGAGTCTTCAGATTTCTATTTAATTGCCTAACTATAGACACTCTGAATTTAAATTCGCTGTTAAATTGGACACATTCAAGAACACAATATTTTTTTTATACAACTTTTACAAAGTACAATTGTGTGCTCAAATTTTCCCAGCATTTGGTGCCCAAACCCCCCAGCTCGTACGCCTATGAGTAAAAGTAAAATCTAGGCCATGTTTTTGTATAAAATAAACCGATATAAATAGTCCCAATATAGCTATACAATTTGGTTCAATAAACAAGTAATCCTAACCTAAGTATTAAAGTTGCAATTTTATATTTTTAAAATTTATTTAAATAAAGCCTTAAAATAGATGGTACCTATAAACAGTCCTACCTTGTTAAAGAATAATCCTATTAATCCTATAATTCACTATTGCCAGTTTAGAAATTGACAAAAATATCATTTTAAACTTTAAATTCAAACGTTTGAAGATAGCTATTCCATGGGGGGGGGGAATAGAAAAACAAGGGAGGTAATTGTGTTATTACTTCCGGGGTCAACGGATTTTTAAGAGGGAGAATAATACCTATGATCGTATAATTGTGAGTTGACAACCTATTGAGCAAAAGACATAGAAATAATTATGTTTTGACTTTCTTAGAAAATTTGAAATTATCGCTTTAAAGTTGCCTATCACCACGGCTAGCCGTATTGTCTGCGATATTAACCCCGATTGAAGTGGACCCTAACGTGAATGGACTACGTCTCCGTGAGTATCCAGGACACCCTTGGTTTTCCAGTTGTTCGAATGGGACAAAAACTCGAATTCTCGTCTACCTTTGACAACCTGATAGCGCACTGCATGGCGTATGTCAGCTTGTCAGTGTTGGGGGATGCCCCCCCCCCCCACACACACACACACCCACCCAAGAAACTGCAAGCATATAATCGTTCGGATGGTCTCTACACATGAACGGGGAGGAGTGGGGGGGGGGGCTTTCACTCGGTACAACCTATATCATTTCGGAACTAACTTGTGGCTTAATTTTACTTCAACCATTCGCCATTCGCTTGCGGGTAGGGGACTTTGGCAGTTGTGTGAAACTGGAGGACCCGTGGAAAATCCATGAAGTTAGACAGGCGACCCCACCCCTTGTCACGTACAAGCAGGGAATCGAAACCACGCCGCTTGCCTCAATGGCAGACCTTATAATCTAAAGCCCCCACCCCCCTAACCCCATCCCCTAACCCCATCCCCATGCCTAAAGGAATTAATCGATTATTAAATCTCGATTGAAGTGGTGATCTTCAATAGATAATTTGAACCGCAGATAAACAAGCCCTCACTTTAAATACAACTTTCAATTTTTTTTTTAAAACTCGAACTAACGACGTTGCAATTTATATGTATACCCAGATTTTGCAATCATGTACGATTTAAAGGATGTAAAATATTTTTCAGAGTGGTGTCGTTATCTTACCGGGAATATCTGGTCCCCTGATATCCAATATTTAAGAGAGAGAGAGAGAGAGAGAGAGAGAGAGAGAGATGGGGTTTAACGTCCACTCGACACAAACTAGGTCATTTCGGGACTAACATATGGTTTAATTTTATTTCAATAATTCGCTTGCGCGTAGGGGTCTTTAGCAGTGGGGGGAAACCGGAGGACCCGGAGAAAACCCACGAGGTTGGACAGGCGACCCTACTCCTTGTCACGTACAACCGGGGATTCGAAACCTCGCCAGTTGACTCAATGACAGGCTTTATGATACAGCACGCACGTGCTAACCATTCGGCCATCCGCCCCCCCCCCCCAATATTTAAGACACAATACACATTTTAAAACCAGTCTACGCCGGCGTGTACAAGATGCACTCAAGCGGAATTTGTAATGAGGCGCCTTGATTGATGCTTCTAAGCGTCAGTGCATAAGTGAAATGTCGAATCAAACTTCCGATGTAAACGAACAAACCTGATTAGAAATTACAATAAACAGTAAATCAGTTTATATACACTCATATTACAAAACGATTTGAAATTACAATAAACAATAAATATTACATATGTCTGATTTATGACCCATGTTGGCCCCATTTTAGATCCCTAAGAATAGAGATTTAGCTCCTTTAATACGTTTTATAAAGTACAAATAACATGTCAAAATATTTATACTATACAAAGAACTGTATGTTGACGTCATACTTCGTCACCATATTTCAGCGATTTCCAATTCCCCAATTTTAACGCTTCACGATTTTTATGTTAATATTATATCTTATAAAATTAAAATATCCAAAATACACTTAAAGGAGCTAAATCGCTAATATTTTGAGAGAGAGAGAGAGAGAGAGAGAGAGAGGGGAGAGAGAGGGGGAGAGAGAGAGGGAAGAGAGAGAGGGGGAGAGAGAGAGAGAGAGAGAGAGAGAGAGGGGAGAGAGAGAGGGAGAGAGAGGGGAGAGGGGGAAAGAGGGTGGAGAGAGAGGGGGAGAGAGAGGGGTGAAGAGAGAGGGGGGAGAGAGAGAGGGGAGAGAGAGAGAGAGGGGGAGAGAGGGTGGAGAGAGAGGGGGAGAGAGGGGTGAAGAGAGAGGGGAGAGAGAGAGGGGAGAGAGAGAGAGAGGGGGAAAGAGGGTGGAGAGAGAGGGGGAGAGAGGGTGGAGAGAGAGGGTGGAGAGAGAGGGGTGAAGAGAGAGGGGGGAGAGAGAGGGTGGAGAGAGAGGGGGAGAGAGGGGTGAAGAGAGAGGGGGGAGAGAGAGGGGGGAGAGAGAGAGAGAGGGGAGAGAGAGGGGGAGAGAGGGTGGAGAGAGGGTGGAGAGAGAGGGTGGAGAGAGAGGGGGAGAGAGAGGGGTGAAGAGAGAGGGGGGAGAGAGAGGGGAGAGAGAGGGGGAGAGAGGGTGGAGAGATGGTGGAGAGAGAGGGAGGGGGAGAGAGAGGGGTGAAGAGAGAGGGGGGAGAGAGAGGGGAGAGAGAGGGGGAGAGAGGGTGGAGAGAGGGTGGAGAGAGAGGGTGGAGAGAGAGGGGGAGAGAGAGGGGTGAAGAGAGAGGGGGGAGAGAGAGGGGAGAGAGAGGGGGAGAGAGGGTGGAGAGATGGTGGAGAGAGAGGGAGGGGGAGAGAGAGGGGTGAAGAGAGAGGGGGGAGAGAGAGGGGAGAGAGAGGGGGAGAGAGGGTGGAGAGAGGTGGAGAGAGAGGGGAGGGAGAGGGGGGAGAGAGGGTGGAGAGAGAGAGAGAAGTAGGACTTTAAATCCTAATCCATTGCATTTAATTTCAGACGTAACACATCAAACTCTAACCCCATTCATTAACTCGGCGATCAGGTGATCATTCATTCATTGATATTCCATCCATCAACCTAAAGCACGCGTTGGTAGGTGAGTTTTCTAAGGGGTTCTATTTTTAGTCATTTCCCGGTGAATGGATCGGTACAGACCTTGGCCTGTAATAATATAGGCTGCACACTCGGCAAACCTCTGCAGATTCCGTTACTCTACATCTAGCCTCGACTGGCGTGGTTTCGATTCCCCGGTTGTACGTGACAAGGAGTAGGGTTGCCTGTTCAACCTCGTGGGTTTTCTCTGGGTCCTCTGGTTTCCTACCACTGCTAAAGACCCCCACGCACAAGCGAATTATTCAAATAAAATTAAACCATATGTTAGTCCCAAAATGATCTAGTTTGTGTCGAGTGGACGGTAAACCCCATTTCTCTCTCATCGTTGTGTACATTTGGTAGGATCTAAAGAACGTTGCCCAAAGGCGATGCTTGAAAAGGCTAAACAGGGGCATAGTCGTGTACTGCCCTTTTTTTTAATGAGGTTTGCTTATAAAAAGATATTACTCAGCGTTTAATAACTATAACATATAATGTATTTAGGTTAGAAACCAGTGATCCGTATACAACCCTTTGGGTGTATAAATGATAGCAACATCCGTGTATATATCTTCACATTAAAACCACAAACAACTAAACGCGTGTTGCAATATTTACTCGAGCTACTCAAATGATAAACCAAAGTGAAGAATCTAGAAACATGGAAGATAATTCTTTTATCTGTGTTCATTTAAATTTGGAAGCTTAGTCTTTTTTGTGTGTTCATCTTATGGAAAACTCTAGGAAGTAATATAATATGTTAGCATATTAGAATTGCTGTGAAACGTCGGCTTCTATGTTAAAGCGAAGTGATCCCTCGGAACATATTTACGTAGTCCGGGAGCTTAAAATGGTTTCTGTGTTTGGATTTTAGTGAATGGCCTAGAAATAAATACCTATGTGTGGTGAGTTACCTTTAAGATATCAGAATTAGTTTACAGTGTGTAGGGGGCAAGACGAATTATTGAAATAAAATTGAACCATATGTTAGTCCCGAAATAAACTAGTTTGTGTCGAGTGGACTTTGAACCCCATTTCTCTCTCATTGCTGGATAATCAACCACATTAAAAACCAAACTCTTGGTTACGCATGGGCAAATATTGACAACGGTCCCAGACGTTGAAGACTAGAAGGTTCTGGGTGACCGAGACTAACAACGTTGACTGTGATGTAATACGAAAGAAACACAACTAAATAACTAATATATCTAGCTAACGATTGAAATGAAATGGGGTTTAACGTCCTACTGTTCTGCTCCGACTGGGCTAATGAAGATGGTGTTTTTATAAACACGACAGAATAATAATAATTGCTTTAACAAACACAAAAGGCACAACAATAATAATAATTGGTTTAAAGATACTTATGGGAGATTCGATAACGAGTTGGCAGTTCTCACTATAATAGTTAAAAACTAGATAATGTAAAGGCAATTTGCTGAAAATTTCATTCAAATTGATTCACTATGAACCGAGACTAAGCGATTGAAACTTCCGCCTAGCCTCGATCATCATTACTAAAATCAGTACGATAAACAGCATAGTCTCGAGTATCCAGTTAATCGTGAAGGAAAGATATGCAGTAAATCGGCTCATAATCCACTAAAGATCGCAGGCTAGCGATGCCATCTGGGGTTGATTATGGTCTGGATAGTTTAATTAATGTATAATTAATAATTTAGATAACATTTCAGACCTAAAGAAAGACCTACAATAGGCAGATTTAGCTCTTGCATAATGTATGTTTAACAAACACGGCAAAAATAAAACCCATCAAAATAAAAGACAATGAAAGACACATAAAATTCAGTCGAAATTGACAATGAATATTTCATTGTGGAAAATTACAAGAATGTATCGTGTAAAATTTGGCCCGCATCCAAATCCTCTTTTATAAGATCTACTTGTTCGTTTGCTTAGGCCAACACAAAAATATTTGTGTTCACGAGTGGACGTTAAAGTATTAATAATCGTAATAATAGTGCCTTTCAAAAACATATATAAAATAAACGTGGCAAAAGTGCAATAAATGAAATGAGGTTTAACGTCCTGCTCCGAACTGGGCTAATGAAGACGGGCATACGTCATACAGTGTGCTATGAGGGAAATTTTGCCGGGACAGCGGCACTACGGCCTACTCTTATATCGAATTCCAACTGTCAAGCGATCTTTTACGTGCACGCCAATGTGTACACGGGACCTCTGTTTTTTGTACCATCCGAAGGACTAGACAGCTGTCCTTGTCAGGCCCTCCGTCACTGACAAGGGAGAATCACGCCGGAAAATCGGGATGAACTTTCTCGACCAATGCAGGGATCGAACACCCGACCTCCAGCCTAGCAAGCCAGCGTCTTACCCACTTAGCCACCGTGGCCCCGCTCGAAAGTGCAATAAAGAAATGATATCATTGCTCTTATTGTTAAATATTCAACTTTACTTTTTACTATTTGACTTATTTTATATATTAACCTATTAATTCTATGAATATATGCAAGGTCTGAGTGATATTTTATGTTTAATGTACTTTTCTCATGCATATTGCACATATAGGTTTTTAAAGGTGTAATCTTACAGTAGCTTTATTCATTAGATATTAGGTTTCCCCTTGTCAGTGATGCAGGGCGGAGGGCCTGACAAGGACAGCTGTCTAGTCCTTCGAATGAGACGAAAAACCGAGAACCCGCGTACACATTGGCGTGCACGTAAAAGATCCCTTGGCAGTTGGAATTCGATATAAGAGTTGGCGATAGTGCCGCTGCCCGGGCAAAATTTCCCTCATAGCACACTGTATGGCGTATGCCCGTCTTCATTAGCCCAGTATAGGAACAGAACAGTAGGGCGTTAAACTCCATTTCATTTCATTTTCATTAGATATCCCCCCTCCCCCCTTAACGACACTAAAAGGTTTTACTTAAAGATACATTATGAGAGATTAAATAAAGAGCTGGCAGTTCTCACTATAATAGTTAAAAACTAGATCATAAGGGCATTTACTGAAATTTACAGTCAAATTGATCCACTCTGAACGGAAAATTTAGCGATTTAATTTTCTGTCTAGCCTCGATCATCATTACTAAAGTCGGTACGATAAAAAAAAAATATACTCGATTATCCAGTTCGTGATTTAATCATGAATGAAAGTTGAGCAGCAAATCGGATCTTAATCCTGTAAATATCGCAGGCTAGCGATGACATCGAGAGTTGATTATGGTCTGGATAAATTAATTAATGTCTAATTAATAATTGCGATAACATTTCAGGCCTAAAGAAAGACCTGCAATAGGCAGATTTAGCTTTTGCATAATATATGTTTAATATGATTATTACAATGACGTCATTATTACAATGACGTCATAATGTATGTTTAAAGCAATTACAATGAGCTAGCGATTTCACAAAATCGTTTTTCAACTCAGATTTCATCAAATGGGAATTGCCATATTTCTGCAAAAACCAAAGGAATCAAATATATGCCAACGTTGTCTTGTCAATGGGGACATTTATTGGTTAACTGTCTGTTAAAGTCTATATCATTTTATAACTTTACTTCGTGGAAATATTCCTTCACTCCAATGGCTTTCCTGCTTGTGACCTCGGGGTTTATTTCTTCCTGAACATTCTGACGTATTTAAACCAACCTGATTGACATACGACCTGACATGACAGTCAATAGCCACTCCATAGCTACATATTTTATTTAACTATACCAAGATCCGGTTACATACGTTACAAGATGAATGCTCTTCTTTTTTTCTTGTTGTTAAAGGCTGTTTTTTAGGATTCGAGAATATATAAAGTAGATAATTTTTTACCTGGACGTATTTTTTATTTATATATATATATATATATATGTTTACGGTAGATAAATGCATTAATAAATAAATAATACGTCCAGGTAAACAAAATTCACCACTTTACTTCATTCTGACATACATTAAATCATATAAGCTAGCTGTCCGCCCTCTATAGGCGTCTTAAGATACTAATAATGTGTACAAAAATTTAAAATTTAACCAGACTTATATGCATTTGTAGAATAATAGATTTCCATGACAATGGATTATAAATAATATTAGGTAACGTACAACAAAAGGTTATAGAGTATATAATACATAACATGACATTAGTCTTCCTGGTATAGTTTGACAATGGTCAATACAGGAATAATAAGATGAAATAAACGTTCATAGACCAATTATTTAATCTGGCTATAATAAAACCTAACCTTTCATTAATTTACAGAGCATTGAGCATTTTAAACGACACTTGCTTTCATTTCAAAGACATTAAAATACTCTTCTATTCTGAAAATTATCTTCGTTTTTTGTTGTTTTCTTTTAGTTTAAAGGGGTTCTGTTAAAGAGTCGAAAATAAAATTTTAATTTGTTGAAATCTACTTCTTTATGTCTTATAAAAGGTCGAAAATATATATAACATTGAGATTTTAATCGAATTTAGCTTTTAAAGACGGCAAAATACTTTCCTATTCTGAACAGTCTTCTTTTTATGTTTAGAGTTAAAGGATTATTGTTGAATTTAACCATATGCGATACAATGAAAATAGTATCAATATATATTCTTTTTATCCCCTTGTCATGTAAATTTTGTTTCAATATATCATAACTAAAATTCAGCGGTTATATTTAGAAATTAAGCTGTAAAAATAAATAGTTTATTTCATTATATTTAATGGCATTTAGTAATTAAACTGGAAAACTACATTATGGCAGTTAGTAATTAAACTGGAAAATTTATATAATGGTATTTAGTAATTAAACTGGACAATTTATATTCGACGGATTATATAATGACATTTTGTAATTATACTGGAAAAATTACATTATGGCAGTTAGTAATTAAACTGAAAAATGTATATAATTTAGTAATTAAGCTGGAAAAATTATATTATAGTATTTAGAAATTAAACTAGAAAAATTATATTATGGCATTTAGTAATTAAACTTGACAAATTATATAATGTCATTTGGCAATTAAACTGGAAAAATTACATAATGGCATTTGGCAATTATACTGGAAAAATTACATAATTGCATTTAGAAATTAAACTGGAAAAATTATATACTTGCTTCTAGTAATTCAACTGGAAATAACGTATTTTATTTATTTTACAGAGGAACAGACAGCCATCATGAACATACGTAGTAATCCACAGAAAGGAGACGCCATTAAATATGAGATAAGCTGAGGAACTGTACAAATATTCACCGCCATTTCTCGTAAATCTCGTCCATGCTCCATTTCTAAAGAATATAAACATGGCGTTAGGGCCAGCTCTACCATTACCATTGGGCAAGAAATATCACGTGTTTTTATACTACAAGGAATCGCCGGAAGATTCACAAATTGCTCAAATGCTGTTAAAGAAATTGACTTTAAATGGATTTATCTGCTGTTGTAACCAGGATTTCTCACCAGGTAGAACCCCGATTGGCAGCATCGTGCATGCTATAGACATGAGCATGAAAATGGTGATTATTTATTCTGAAACATTCTTCAAGAGCACGGAATCATCGTTTACAATCGAGATGCAGATGCAGCATTGTTTAAATACGGAGAAATTCCTGCTTATTCCTGTTCAGTTTGATGATTGTAAGATACCGTTGTTTTATAAAACTCTACCCGTGATAGACGTAAGACAACCAGAGGAAATGTGGTTTCCACAATTAGTAAAATCTATTAAAAATCTTGCAGGTAAGTTCTAGATATTATGAGTAGAGAGAGAGTGAGGGGTGGGGTGTTAACGTCCACTCGACACAAACCAGATCATTTCGGGACTAACATATGGTTCAATGTTATTTCAAAAATTCGCTTGCGCGTAGGGGTCTTTAGCAATGGGAGGAAACCGAAGGACCCGCAGAAATCCCACGAGGTTGGACAGGCGACCCTACTCCTGGTCACGTACAACCGGGAATCGAAACCACGCCAGCTGACTCAATAACAGACCTTATGATACAACGCGCTCACGGTAATCATTCGGCCGTCCAACCCCACTAAATTTATTTAAAGTTCAGTGTAAAATATCTTTTTAATATTTTGTAGTTTTTATTTGACATATAAAATATGTATCAACGCTTTCTGTTTGACATAGTGCATTAAGTTATATATGTATAAACACCTAGCCGTAGGTGGCCGATTTACCATTGAGTCAAGTGGACTGATTTCGGTCCCTGTGCACATTATGGAAATAATATTTTACCATATGTTATTCCCGAAATGGCGTAGTTTATGTCGAGTGGAGTTAAATGTCCGAACTCAGCTATAGTACCCAGGAATATGAGCAAAAGCATTTAATAACATATCTTAAAACAGGGGAAAATGTTTTTTTATTAAAGGAGCTAAATCGCTAATATTTGGGACCTAGAAATTGACACAAATGGGTCGCAACGCATATAATAATGTAATATGAATGTATATAAACTGATTTATATTCAATCGTTTCCGTTTTTTACTCTAATTTCAAATCAGTTATGTTCGGCGAAATACGCCAGAAGTCTCAATCGATTGGCAATCTCTAACGTCTGGTTATTTCAGTCTACATCGATACTACTTATTGCGAATGCAGTCCAGATAAGAATATGGCGTCACCGTTTGACATGACTTGTGGAATATATCTAGCCTCGTTCTTCGAGTCCCTTGATACAAATGGCGTTGAAACGCATTATAATACACTGTTTTTTTTGTCTTAAATATTGGATATCAGAAGCCCGCCCATCTTTTCTCGGCAAGATCACAACATCAGTGTTGATTTAAATTGACATATAATTAGTGTTTTCAATGTCGAAGGCTTTGGATGATATTGAGTTAGAGACTTTGCTACTTTAAGTGTAGGGCTTATCAAAATTGAACAGCGATATTTGGGTGAACAAAAGAATTCAACTGTCCTTTTGTAACACTTTCTATTTGATATAATACATCGGTTTATGTATATTTATATAGTATCAACAATTTCTATCTGACATTAAATTAAATCAGCTATTATATTTTATGTATATAAGCCGAGTAAACACACTTCTGGCCCAAGACTCTATTCCAAATATAGCATTTTATTTTCCAACTCCGTCATCCGTTTTAAAGCTTCGGAGTTTTATTTCGATTATGGAAGATTTAATATAATTTTATGTCCTAGAGTTGATAAATACGAAATTTTAAAGAATAAACACCAGAAGGGTTACATCACTTTGTTTGGGTTTCTAGTTAGCGGTGGTGTGGTCATCCTGTTTTTCACGGCGTTGTACATCAGCAGGTGTAGTGCCATCTATGTAACGCCGTGAGTGTTCGCGACAGGGCATGGATATTCATCCTCAAATACATAGTACCACTTTTCACCAATTTTAAAAGTTAGTTTTGCTCTCCTGTGCAAGCCTGTGATTTAACACACGACTTGCATAGATGGCAAATCCAACGTGATATTTGTAGCAACTGTTAGGTGTTGTTCTCGAGACGCGGTGAGGTAACTTTTTCTCGAACATCTAGTACCACTTCTGGTCACCTATTTTTACCAGATTTATAGTATGTTAATTTACATATTTATCAGTTGCAAGCGATCAAAAGAATTCGGCCATATTGTTTATTCAGTATGTTAAGTTACATATATATCAGTTGCATAGCGATCAAAAGAATTAGGTCATATTGTTCTGCTTCAGTAACAATTAGCACGTGTTATTATATTCAGTTATGACTAATAGGGGAGTTATTATATTAGGGAAGCTACATCCTGTCACGCACATTCCGCTACAAATCAGGAACAGAAAAAATTCCACTTCATTTTTATCTTTTTGTTTTTGTTTTTTTGTTTTTTTTTTTGTTTTTTTTTTTGGGGGGGGGGGTCCCCCGCTGGAAAGTGTCACGAAAAGATAAAAAAACATGTTACTATTATTATATACAAGCCTTGATAAATACCATGATATGCCTTGATAAATAACACGAAAATGAAATGAAAAATGAAATGAACTGGGGTTTAACATCCTACTGTTCTGCTCCTAAACTGGGCTAATGAAGACGGGCATACGCCATACAGTGTGCTATGAGGGAAACTTTGCCCGGGCAGCGGCACTACGACCTACTCTTATATCGAATTCCAACTGCCAAGGGATCTTTTACGTGCACGCCAATGTGTACACGGGACCTCTGTTAATCGTCCCATCCGAACGACTATATATATACATCTGTCCTTGTCAGGCCCTCCGTCCTGCATCATTGACAAGAGGAAATTACGCCGGGAAATCTGGATGAACTAGCGAGCCAGCGTCTTACCCACTTAGCCACGTAAGTAAGAGAGAGAGAGAGCGAGAGAGAGAGAGAGATGGGGTTTAACGTCCACTCGGCACATATTTTAAGTAGTATATATCATTACAAACGCAATCTCATTAAAACACAGATCCTATTTCGTTTCGTTTTTTTTATAGTTCGAAATTTCGTTTTACTTGTCTTTGTAGGACATCGAAAGTATAAAAAACGAAACGAAATATAGGTCTGTATTTTAATCCGATTTTTACAAACGATAAATGGTGTAACTTCACTAAGCATAATAGATAATTAACATTGTTATTAAAGATACATTATGGGAGATTCGTTAACGAGTTGGCAGTTCTCGCTATAATAGTTAAAAACTAGATAATGTAAAGGCAATTTGCTGAAAATTTCATTCAAATTGATTCCTTATGAACCGAGAACTAAGAAATTGAAATTTCCGCCTAGCCTCGATAATCATTACTAAAGTCCGTACGATAAACAGTATAGTCTCGATTATCCATTTAATCGTTAAATCGTGAAAGAAAGTTATGCAGTAAATCGGTTCATAATCCACTAAAGATCGCAGGCTATCGATGCCATCTAGAGTTGATTATGGTCTAGAAAGGTTAATTACTGTATAATTAATAATTTAGATAACATTTCAGGCCTAAATAAAGACCTGCAATAGACAGATTTAGCTCTTGCATAATGTGTGTTTAAGTATTATACACCATGATAAACGATAAGCATTGTTATTAAGTATTATACACCATGATAAACGATAAGCATTGTTATTAAGTATTATACTCCATGATAAATGATAAGCATTGTTATTAAGTAGTATATACCACGATAAATGATAATCATTGTTTTTAAGTAGTATATACCACGATAAATGATAATCATTGTTATTAAGTAGTATATACCACGATAAATGATAATCATTGTTATTAAGTAGTATATACCACGATAAATGATAATCATTGTTATTAAGTATTATACACCACGATAAATGATAATCATTGTTATTAAGTATTATACTCCATGATAAATGATAAACATTGTTATTAAGTAGTATATACCACGATAAATGATAATCATTGTTATTAAGTAGTATATAAAGTAAACATTTTTACCATTAGTAATTTTATCATTAGTATATACAGTAATACTATCATTAGTAAATACAGTAATATTATCATTAGTATATACAGTAATATTATCATTAGTATATACAGTAATATTATCATTAGTATATACAGTAATATTATCATTAGTATATACAGTAATATTATCATTAGTATATACAGTAATATTATCATTAGTACATACAGTAATATTATCATTAGTATATACAGTAATATTATCATTAGTATATACAGTAATATGATCATTAGTATATACAGTAATATGGTCATTAGTATATACAGTAATATTATCATTAGTACATACAGCAATGAACAATGTTACAATAAGTACTTTCTTCAATAAACAATGTTATCATTAAAATACATAATACTGAACAATGTTAGCATTAGTATATACAATAATAAACAATGTTACCATTAGTATAGTCTATTCTAAATATATTGCAAAGGTAAAAATACAGTAATTTAAATCAACATTGATGTTGTGATCTTACAGGGAAACGATCCAATATTTAAGACAAAATAAACATATTATCATTGTTACACGAATCGTGTACCATAATGCATCACAGCGCCATTTGTAACAAGGAACTCGAAAAACGAGGCTAGACATATTTCATAAGTCATATCAAACTGTAAACTGGAATAACCAGACGCTAGAGATTGCCAATTGATTGAGACTTCTGGCGTATTTCGCCGAACATAACTGATTAGACATTAGAGTAAAAACAGAAACGATTGAATGTAAATGATTTTATTTACATTCATATTACATTATTAGATGCGTAGCGACCCATTTGCGTCAATTTTTAGGTCCCAAATATCAGCAATTTAGCTCCTTTAACTAGCTCCTTTAACTGAACAGAAATGTGGCCATCTAAGAGGCCCATTATTTTCTACTGGCCCCTTACCGCCATTGTGTTTTCTCTAACACCCGGGCGATTTTTGAATTTTTATCCACGAACATCTCGCTTAAAGATGGCGTCTTACCTATGTTTAACTTTGTTTTAATCGCCCAGGTTACTATATAATATAAAGAATATTTAATTGGTTAGATGATAGATAACGAAAGTAGTAACCGTTGGTCTGTTAAATTAAGGAGTTAATTTTTACCAAAATATAGTGGCATATTAACAGAACACAGTTTTTATTGGATGCAATCACTAGTTTTATTCTAAAAGCACAACGTTTCGACAAGTATCCTCTTATCGTTATCAAGCAGAGGCATAATTATAAAAGGTTTATGGAATTGTAATGGTATAAGCAGAAAAATCTTATAAGAACGTTCTTATATCCTGTTTTTATAATATTGCAGCAATTTTAAATGGGGAGGGGGGGGGTAACTTCCTGGTTATATGGTTTTTCGTGACAAAATGGCCGAAAAACAAATCCGAATGAACTGGGTCATATCGGAACAAACAAATGTTTTTATTTTATTTCAATAATTCGCTTGCGCGTAGGGATCTATAGCAGTTGGGGGAACCGGAGGAACCGGGGAAAACTCACGAGGTTGGTCAGGCGACCCTACCCCTTGTCACGTACAACCGGGGAATCGTAAGCACGCCAGTTAACGCAATGACAGACGTTAGGGTGCAACGCGCACATGCTAACCATTCGGCCATCCAACCACCCGGTCTTTGCAAAACGACACCCCGACCTGCAACAAAAACGTCGACATTAAATATTAGGGTATAAAAATGAAATCAGACTTTTGGGTTGTGAACAATTACATTCTGACTGTTATATTTCAGATATTTCTAAACAGTTTGTTGCTGGTCCAAGAATCTCCACCATATTGATACATGTTTGTGGATATGAACCAGGTATGGTTTACTTATTTTAGTCTGGTTGTTCAAAGCTAAGTCTCGCTCCTCCATTTTTAGATTAAATCAAAATATGTCTGAACTGTTCTAATCTATTTAATATCGGAGAAATCCGATGCCATCGAGAGTTGATTATGGCCTGGATAAGTTAATTAATGTCTAATTAATAATTCAGAAAACATTTTAGGCCTAAAGAAAGACCTGCAATAGGCAGATTTAGCTCTTGCATAATGTATGTTTAATGAAGATGCGTGTAGCCATGATTGATTAGAGATTCGAGATAGCCACTCTTTCTGAAAATGTGTTGCACCCATGTCGATGTTACATGCTACGTTGTACGATATAGACAAATTAGATTAATGTACATTTACAGCTTGTAGATCTTTCTGTTGCCAAAGCAAAGGTTCCAAAGATTTCAGTCTTTAATGTTTCATCTGTGCAACTTGTTGGGACCAATTAAGGGTGTAAAGGATAAGTTCTTCTAGTCGGGTAAAGATAAGCCCGAGAGATATGTTCTTCAGCTCATCGCCCACGATCAGCTCTTGTAAGAAAAAAGTGTAAACAAATTTGAAAAACTTTATTGTTTCTGGTCCAGGTAATACTTTTTTGGATGGGTGATGGCTTTTGTTTAATAATCTTGCTGCAGATTATTGTGGCTACTGTTTTGATAAATCTCTCCTGGTCGAATTCTAAATCCCCCGTCTCGCTCAACCATCCCCAAAATATTAAACTTTTAAGGTTTCCAAACGTGGCCATATTGGATTTATACTTATGATTGGACTATGGCGTTATGACGTCACATGGACGTAATTTGGCAATGTTTTTCTGATCTTTGGTAGCACTTTACTATCTACCCGCAATACATTTACACCCTCTGAACTCAACCATTCCGGATATATTGCAGTTTTAAGGTTCCAATGGCAGCCATATTGGATTTAGGCCAATTGCTGGACGTCATGGGTTGTGCTTTTCTGATTCTTTTCTACCACTTTTATATCTACCCCTAATACATTTACACCCTCCAAACTCAACCATTCCCGAAATATTGGAGTTTTAAGGTGCCAGTCGCGGCCATATTGGATTTATGCCAATTACTCGAAAACATATCTTTTTATTTTGGGCGATTTTTGTTTGGGAGACCTTCAGGGACCCTTCTACCAGATTCCGTCAAGAAATATTCTGTTGCATTTTGTTCTAGATTATTTATTATATTTACAGGATTAATCGGCTAAATTGCTTCCACGCCACGCTAGCAATTAGTAGCTTTGGTTTCTAGTTTATATTGGGAGGGGGTGGCCGAATGGTGTGCACGTATCATTAGGTTTGTCATTGAGTCAACAGGTGTGGTTTCCTTTCCCTGGTTGTACGTGACAAGAAATATAGTCGCCTGTCCAACCACATGGGTTATCTCTCGGTCCCCCCGTTCCTCCCACTGCTAAAGACCCATACACGCAAGTGAATTATTGAAATAAAATGGAAGTAAATGACCTAGATTGTGTCGAGTGAACGTTAAACCCATCTCTCTCTCTCTCTCTCTCTGTCTCTCGCTGTCTCTGTCCCTCTCTCTCCCTCTCTGTCTCTCTCTCCCTCTTTCTGTCTCTGTCTCTCTCTCCCTCGCTCTCTCCTAATCTATATTACACTGCTGTACTTGTTAATCTGCGATATCAGCCATAGGTGGAAGTAGGTGAATGTTAACCCCTATACAGGTCCCCATGATTTGTAGTTCGTCTATTTATAGCAATGGTCTAGTTTCTCTGTTGAGTGGAAGTTAACAAAGAGGTTGGTTATGGTGACATGTACGGCGAATAAGTACATTGTTACTATGCAACTACTACTTTGTATATCTCAAAATTTCAGTTATTGTCAACCTAATACAAATCGGGAGCAAAAACACGGCCGTTGGTTGCTCTTTATATAGTGATAAGCGCTCAATCCAGCGTAACTGTGTTCTATATTAGTCCCGCTTACGAGACAGGTACGTGACAAGGAGTAGGGTCGCCTGTCCAACCTCGTGTGTTTTCTCTGGGTCCTCCGGTGTACTCCCACTGATAAAGACCCGTACGCGAAAGCGAATTAATGAAATAAAATTGAACCATATGTTAGTCCCGAAATGACCTAGTTTGTGTCGAGTGGACGTTAAACTCTCTCTCTCTCTCTCTCTCGCTCTCTCTCTCGCTCTCTTACGAGACAGATTATTCTCACTCTTTTTAAACATCTATGCTATTTGAACATCGGCGGTCACTTTCAATATCAAAATCACATACAATTACGCAAATTTTTATTATTACAGCCAGAAGAAACAATATGGAAGTTCTAGCATGTCGTAGGGGTGTTTACAGTTCTCGGGAATCCAAGAAGCTAAAGATGCGCCATAAGATACTACATCAGATGCAGAAAGCCGGAGTTATTGTAAGTTATATCTATTTGAAGGATTAGACAGGGCGATAAAACCAGGTCCCAAGTTCACAAAGCATTCCCAGACTTAAATGAAAATGAAATGAAATGGGGTTTAACGTCCTACTGTTCTGCTCCTAACCTGGGCTAATGAAGACGGGCATACGCCATACAGTGTGCTATGAGGGAAATTTTGCCCGGGCAGCGGCACTATCGCCTACTCTTATATCGAATTCCAACTGCCAAGGGATCTTTTACGTGCATTCCAATGTATACACGGGACCTCGGTTTTTCGTCTCATCCGAATGACTAGACAGCTGTCCTTGTCAGGCCCTCCGTCCTGCATCACTGGCAAGGGGAAACCACGCCGGAAAAGAATTTACTTAAAAGTGTTCGCCTTATTTTAACTAAAATATAGACCTTTATAAAACTTTTGTTGTTTTAATGTATCAAATATATCAATAAGAAACTATGTGCAAAGTTTTGTGTTTCTGGATCAAAGATATTTCTCATAAACAGTGATAGAAAGTTGAGTAAACTCTTTAAAAGTCTGAGCATGCGTTGTGAACTCGGAACCCGGTAAAATGTCATCTAAAGTCCCGTTTGACTTGATGCCATTTTCAGACAGAGAACCTTGTCCTGAAATCTGATACAGGTACCAAGCCAGAAAGATGGAAGACGGCAACTCTTGTACTGCGTTAAACTTTTCTGTGTATATCGATTGCACATATATATACTACCCTTATTTTAGCTAAAATCCCTATTTTTAGAGGAGGAAAATATGTTTGCGAAATATACAAATGTTCGATAATAGCAATATTCCTGTCCCAGACAAGGCGTTCTATTAAACATGCACTATGTAAGAGCTAAATCTGCCTATTGCAAGTCTTTATTTTGGCCCTAAATGTTATATGAATTATTATTGATGGCCGGGATTTAAATGGATTAAGACATCCGCGAGATTTAAATATATAATGATAAAATGGACAACCGAGATTTAGTCTCGGTTGACAAGTCCCGTTGCTACAATAATGAACGTTCTACGCTATATGTACAAACTTCGTTCAGTCTAAAGTAATTTGAATGAAAGGATCAATATATTCATTTTACATTATCTATTTTTGAACTATTATAGCAAGACCGGTCAGTTCTTTATCTAAATCTTACATAATGTATCTTTAAAGCCCTTTGTATTTCATATTTTTAATTTCAGTTATCAGAAAGAAAATTTGAAGCCATGATGTCTGATGTGGATTTTATGTTCCGAGATTATTGTAGACTGAACAAACTACTCTTCCCGGTTTTAACGTATTTCTTTTTACTAGCAATAATTGGAACCCTGGTTCTAAGATGTACACGGTACTTTGATGCCGATCCCATCAGACGTTGGTTGCCAATGCTTATGCTGTTTACAGTTGGGTTTTGTGTTTGTGTTATTACATCCTGGATGATTAAAACAAAATTTCAGGTATTGATAATGGTTTTATATTTTTCCTTATCGCACCTGATTTATTATTGTACGAGGCAGGGTATGGTTACTTTTCATAGAACACCTGATACCACCTATCGTTTAACTCCATATAATACTATTATTCTTCTAAACATTTAATGTACAAGACCCCTTAGTGAATTATCCCTTGGTTAGCTTGTGTTGTGGGAGCCCTGGCCCTAGCTCGGCGCTTTGACCTTAAAGGACAATATTGGTGTCAACCATTATCACATATGTGATAGAACTGGTTAAACACGTTCCAAATATATTTTTAACTCAGAGATCATTGCTACGATAGATGCGTTATGAAGATTTCAAGAAAAGGAAGTGACGAACGCAAAAGGAAGACACTAGTTATCCTTCTATATAACTGACTGAAGTGGCGAGTGATAACAGATACACGGGCGAATTTCTGCTCACTAATAATTCCTTCGACGAATTGGAATACATTTTTTTGAAAAATAATTAAACATAATTACTTTGGTAATGATGATCGAGGCTAGTCTAAAAAAAAATCATAAACTAATATCTCTGTTCAGAGTGGAGCAATGGGCGTCCTCGATGAAGGAATACCTGGTGTCGCTAGTAAAAATTTGGTTCCACGTGACCTTATCGATGGTAAGAGACCCGTATCGGGATTAAATTCCATATTAACGACAAAAACTAACATTTATCAATACATCAGTTTGTAATGAATGTACAGGAAAACAATGCTGTAAGGTAAACAATGAGGTCACGTGGGACTGCCTCACGTATCAATTATGCCTCTTTATCTTTAGCGAGGACGCCCATTAGACTGAAATGTTCAGCATGTTATATTTATGTTATCTTTTTTTCACTATTATAGCGAGAACTGTCAACTCTTTATCTAAACTTCGATAATGCCCCTTTAAAGCGATAATTTTATATTTTTAAGTTATATTTTTAAAATGTATTAAAATAAAGCCTTAAAGGGACTATCCCTTATTTGAACAGAGACACAAAATAAAAATTTGAGTATGTATGAAATTTAAACGCCACAATATAGAGGAATGGTGTATTGACCGTATCTCAAAATTTCAGCTCAAAATATTGAGTCGTTTGGACGTGACCGTCAAAACTGCTTATCCGGACACGTAACCCTTTTAAGATTTCGGGTCAATTTTTTCGTTGGGAGACCTGATAATCGATTCCCATTCCTTTAGAAGTATATACAGTGAATGACCTAAATGCTGTACTTGATAATGAAAGGTCAATTTCATCTACACATTATTTTTATACAAGAAATGTCTGGTTTTATCTAGACACCGCATAATATAGCTTGGGACACCGGTCTCCATTTCCAGATGAAGACTGAGGGGTTTCAGTTATTTGAAAACTTATCACAAATATTGAGTTAGTTTTTTCGGCCCTTCGGTAGGGGATTTTAAGGGATTTTAAAACAAAATTAAACAGTTTTATTCTCCAAAGAATTATCGGGATTAGCCCTTTAAAAAAGATGGTATCTATAAACAGTCCTACTTTGTTAAAGAATAATCCTATTAATCCTATAATTCACTATTGCCAGTTAAGAAATGGGCAAAAATATCATTTTCAACATCAAATTCAAACGTTTGAAGATAGTTATTCCATGAGGGGAATAGAAAAAACAAGGGAGGTAATTGTTTTATTATGATACCTATGATCGTATAATAGTTAGTTGACAACCTATTGAGCAAGACATAGAAATAATTATGTTTTGACTTTCTTAGAAAATATGAAATTCTCGCTTTAAAGTATGTACTTTATATACTTTTTTTTATATTTCAGGATTATTATCATCGATCGTTTAAAGATTATCTGGTGACAATAAATGATAAGTTATTTGATGAACGTATTTTAATAACCGTAGTCGAGGAACATATATCCTTTAAAAATCATACGAAATGAAATGAAATGGGGTTTAACGTCCTACTGTTCTGTTCCTGGCTGGGCTAATGAAGAAAGGCATACGCCATACAGTGGGCTATGAAGGAAATTTTACCGTGGTCTACTCATATATCGAATTCCTACTGTCAGGGGATCTTTTACGTGCACGCCAATGTGTACACGGGAGGGACGTATTACTAAATTTGGTCAACAGACAAATTCCATTCCTGACCATGAAGATGGCATATGACAAATGTGTTTATTAACCTTTAGTTCAATTCATGTAGATTTCTATTGTTTCAGATTTTATTTTGCTTGAACAAGAATCTATAAACAACTATTAGTCAAGTCCTTAATATTTCTACAATTTTTTGTTTGTAAATATTTCCTTAACATGCATACATAAATATAGTATACTACGATTATGCTCCTTGTCTTGTAAGTATAAACACATTTATTAATGTTTGATGCTGTGCCGTTACTGGTCCGTTTTGAAATGTAATGAAATGAAATGGGGTTTAACGTCCTACTGTTCTGCTCCTAACCTGGGCTAATGAAGACGGGCATACGCCATACAGTGTGCTATGAGGGAAATTTTGCCCGGGCAGCGGCGCTACGGCCTACTCTTATATCGAATTCCAACTGCCAAGGGGTCTTTTACGTACATGCCAATGTGTACACGGGACTTCGGTTTGTCGTCCCATCCGAACGACTAGACAGCTGTCCTTGTCAGGCCCTCCGTCCTGCATCACTGACAAGGGGGAAACCACGCCGGCTGGTCCGTTTTAGTTCATTTACAAACGTCATCTCAGATATGTTTTCCTGAATCAATTGGGTTCATCGAGGAGCTTACAAATCATCAAACGTTCATTCCATTACTGTTCTGTTCATTTCGTCGCGTTTCGTCGCGTTTCTGGCGAACCGACGAATCTGATAAATTTAAGTATAGAGAATTGTGCGTTTGAAATTTGCGCTCTGTTGTTAGTTCTATGTCCATCAAATAATAACGTTTATGTAAATGGCGTTCAGTGTCCTGATGTATATGTATGAAATATTAAATCATAAATAAATGTTTTTATTTGCAATAGGCAGATTTAGCTCTTGCATAATGTATGTTTAAATACTTTCTGGCCATTAAAACGATTTTTTGTAAGCAATGTGATGTTATTCTTTAATTTCAGAATTATTTAACTGAAAATAAAACTCTGGTTGGTATCAACAATACAAGTGTTAAAAGTCTCAAGGAAATGTATAAAAAATGGCGAGACTGGCTGTATGGCAATATCCCAAACACTGAGGTAAGGACTATCAATAAAGGGAAATAACTCCACGTTATTACATGTTATCTACCGTAATAAATACATTTTGACTAGAGTAATCACCATTCCTTGGCTGTCTCTTGTCGAGAAAGAGAGAGAAGGGGGGGGGGGGGGGTAACGCCCACTCGATACAAATCAGATCACTTCGGGACTAACATATGGTTCAATTTTATTTCAATAATTCGCTTGCGCGTAGTGGAAGGAAACCGGAGGACCCGGAGAAAACCCACGAGGTTGAACAGGCGACCCTACTCCTTCTCACATACAACCGGGAAATCGAAACCACGTCAGTTGACTCAATGGCAGACCTTATAATACAACGCACACACGCTAACCATTCGCCGTCTCTTGTAAGGGGTGGCCATAATTATATCTAGATATGTTTCCGGTTTCAGATAACATTTTGTTATTCTGTACTCATCTTCTGTCAGAGATTAAGGTGGGCCAATGATTATTTTGTTATAATTTGAAGTTAAACTACTTCCATTATATATCAATGTTCCTAAATTGATGTTCTCGAATTGTTTCTCATTCAAAGATTCGACTTCATATTAGAATCGATTTTGGTGCAAATCGACACTAATTCAGAATTGCTTATGAAATCCAAAACTTAAAATGAGTACACTTGTGGAATTCAATATCAAAGGAAACCAAAAGCGCAAATTTTATTAAAGGTTCTAAAAACCGAACTTTCAAATCAAATATACAACTGATTGAATACGGTTCTAGCTGTGTTTATGTCCAACTTTTACCATGTATACTAAATAATGTTCTCCATTTTTTTGTTTATGTTTTTTTTTATTGATTAATGTGTTGTGATTGTTGTAATTTTATATTAGTTGTACTTATGTAAAGCGCCTGAGAGCAGCTCGCTGAGTTGAATTGTTGGCACTATATAAATCAATTATTATTATTATTTGTTTATTTATTTTTAGCAGACCATAGAGCGACAGCAGTTGATAAAAGAGGGTGGTATGTACGCGTGTTGGTATTTACAAAAGAAGCTTCCCAAACCAGCTATAGACAGACATGTTCGCGGTGGCCAATGCCTCTGTCAGTACATTGAGAAAAATCTACACGGTGACAACTTTACCCTAGAAAGTGTAACCACCCGCTTTTAGAGACCAATGGAAAGAGCTTGGATGTTGAAACTTGCAGCAAACCTTTACAGAAGGTGGAAAATTTGTATGCTGGTATTTTCCAGAGAAACCACTAAAACCAAATGTTCTGGGAGGGCAAAGGTGAATGGTGACAGGTTTACCATAGAACTTGTAGCCACCCGGTTTTAGAGACTGGTAAAATAGATGCGGAATAGACATCGTTTACTATTCGGTAATTTCCGCGCTGATGACCAAATCTGTCTAAATTTTGCCAGTTTTCAGCAAAGAAAATTAACCGTGAAACTTGTAACCAACCATTACAGAAAGTGGCATATATGTATTCGTGTTGGTGTTAGTATGTGACTGCATACAGACAAAGCTACATGGCGGCGGCGCTCGTAAAATGGACGCCAAAGATAAAGTGTGTTAAAAATGCCTTGTCAGTCGTTATGAACTGGGCATTATTGTTATTGTTGTATATTTAAATTTAAGGTATGTGAAGTGTGAAAATTTAATAAACACTGACTTACTATTAATATTGGTGGTGTTTGTCATTTGGAGGTGATATTGAATGGGTTGTATCATAGGCATTCATAGGGGCACGGTTCAATCTGATTAAAATACAGATCTATCTTTCGTTTCGTTTTTTTATACTTTCCATGGCCTACACTGACCAGTTGTAGTAAAAGGTCGCGTCAGAGCGTCAGAGATCACATGAGCGGCTTTTGACCCTATGACGTCAGACATTGATTAATCAATCAGCGTTGTCGCTTCTAGTGGTTTACCCACAGTTCTATGCATCGCACGCCAAAGGTCGCCGTAAGAGATGGTTTCATTGGCTAATCCCTCACGCCATATAGCAACTCTTCCAGATCCTAGTGTAGTACAGACAAATAAAACGAAATTTTTTTAACTATAACGAAATAGGACCCGTATTTAAATCACATTGGGGCACAGGTCGGTATTAATGGGGGTGGGGGGAGGGTCATTTAGTGGGGACAGTGTCGCCTATAACATTAACACGAGAATAGAAATTTCCCGTTATTCAAAATAATGTAAGATCCGTCAGTTATATTGGGTTTTTTATCTGCGGTTTGTGGGATGGGGGGGGGGGGCGATCCCACGCCTTTATGTGGACATGTCGTAGGGTTTAACGTCCAACCAAACACACACTAGGCTGTTTATTTCAATTATTCGTTTGTGCGTAGTGGTCTTTAGTAGTAGGAGGAAACAGGAGGACCCGGAGAAAACACACGAGGTTGGACAGGCGACCCTACTCTTTGTCACGTACAACCGGGGAATCGAAACCACGCTAGTTGACTCAATGACAGACCTTATGATACAGCGCGTACGCGCTAACCATTCGGCCATCCAACCCCCTAAATTTGATTTATCAATTAAACATCCATAAAGATATAAGATAATTCCAGTGCTAAACCGGGGAGAGTTGTGTCCCTTTCTTACATTTTCATCTGAACCAATTGATGGTTCTTGTGTGGGGGCGTATTCAAGTTTGTCCAAACGAATTTCACGTGCCCCATAAGACCAGGGGTAGATTTTAATATTTTCGATTTCTTCTTATAAACCACTTTATGGATCTCTGCCCAATCTGATGTAATGCCCCCTTCAGACCGCGGTGACGTCCTTACTGCGCTGCTGCGACCGTACAGCGACCAGAAAATGCACAAGGTCGCCGGCAAACGTGAACATAACGAGGGAAAATATCCCAAAAAATTACAAACGTGAAAAAAGTCGCGTTCTTACAGCTTTCTAGGTCAGATCGCAGAACCTTGCCGTTTGTTTTGAACATGCGATCAATCGGGACCTTGGAGACCACAGGGCGATATCTGGCGTTTCCACCACGCTTTTATCACGCTTATGGCGATCTTGACGCGCTCTGCGACCATTTTCCGTCGCCGTAGTGTCGCAGTAAGGACGCCGCCGCGCTCTGACGGGGGTATAAGATCTGTTCAGGGGACCACGTGGCTAGTGGGTAAGACGCTGACTCGCTAGCCTGGAGGTCGGGTGTTCGATCCCTGCATTGGCCAAGAAAGTTCATCCAGATTTTCCGGCGTGGTTCCCCCTTGTCAGTGATGCAGGGCGGAGGGCCTGACAAGGACAGCTGTTTAGTCCTTCGGATGAGACGAAAAACCGAGGTCCCGTGTATATATTGGAATGCACGTAAAAGATCCCTTGGCAGTTGGAATTCGATATAAGAGTAGGCGATAGTGCCGCTGCCCGGGCAAAATTTCCCTCATAGAACACTGTATGGCGTATGCCCGTCTTCATTAGCCAAGTATAGGAGCAGAACAGTAGGACGTTAAACCCCATTTCATTTCATTTCATTTCAGATCTGTTCAGACAAAGTGGATTGACCCCCTGGGAGCACAATACAGGGATAAATGGGATTATCTTCTTGTAAATATTTGGTAGCCATATAGGGTAAAAATATCGATGGCGAGATTTGTGCAAAACAATACATTTGTTTTTTCTGTCTTCTCCATTGTCAAAATATTGACTTTGTTATGACTTCATTTGAAAACATAAATTAAATTGTTTATGAAATATTGTGAGAATATCAGGAAAATTGGTCTAAGGCCAAGGACAAATTCTATGGTCTAAAAACACGTGATAGGAAAATTACCATTACATCATTAGGCTTAGTAACCAATCATTATACTTAATTACGTCATATTTGACCAATTAGATAATTGAAAACCGAAACCGACGGGTAGAAAACCATCAGAGCTGTGGGCGATTTTCAGACACCATGTAAATTTTGAGATAGGAAATACTATGCAGGTTCGTTGGGAGAGACTGTTAAGGTTCAAGAGACACCATCTGGTTTGAGAATGCTCCGTTAAGCCGTAAGAGAGACATATGATGTAGGCATTCCGTCAGTAAACCCGTGGGGTTAAGAGACTAGAGTATGACTTTAAATGAAATGAAATGAAATGTGGTTTAACGTAATTCTTTAGTGGCATTTAGCAATTGGAAACATAACAAAACTATACAGTTATATGGGACAACAATCACTGGTTTATTATACACAGGCACGACGTATTCTTATCGAAACGTCGTGCCTGTGTATAATAAACCAGTGATTGTTGTCCCATATAACTGTATAGTTTTGTTTGTGGTTTAACGTCCTACTGTTCTGCTCCTAACCTGGGCTAATGAAGACGGGCATACGCCATACAGTGTGCTATGAGGGACATTTTGCCCGGACAGCGGCGCTACGGCCTACTCTTATATCGAATTCCAACTGCCAAGGGATCTTTTACGTGCACGCCAATGTGCACACGGGACCTCGATTTTTCGTCCCATCCGAACGACTAGACAGCTGTCCTTGTCAAACCCTCCATCCTGTATCACTGACAAGGAGAAACCACGCCGGGAAATCTGAATGAACTTTCTCGGCCAATGCAGGGATCGAACACACGACCACAAGGCTAGCGATTCAGCGTCTTACCCACTTAGCCACGTGATCCCCAAGTATGACTTTAACCTATGCTTGTAACCTATGTATCCAGTGCTTGCCATAAAAATATAGAAACGAACTGTGGTGTGGTTATTCCTGTAACCATAATCGGAGTACAAGAGGCAAATTCACAACGTGGGATGTCAGAGTAACATTTAAAGAAACGTCCTAACCAGTAGAGAATTACAAATATAACCAGAGATAATACTAGACGATCACAAGGCTAATAAAATATGTAACAAAGTGAGAGTATGCATCACACGTCGGTTCTGGGGAGTTTTTGGCAGGGGGCTTTCCACATCTAACCAGCGACTCATAGCACTGCACATCGTCAATAGAAGGCTTGATCTCGCTTTAACTACGTACATCTTATCAAGGCCTTCACGTAATACCCTGCATATTGCGGCACTAATTTCGATTGGGTACAAGCCCAACTTGTGAGCCTATCAGATTCCTCGATCGTCGCGAATACCAAGTCTCGCGCTTTCAAGCTAAAATATCTACTGTGATAATCGCATTGCAAAGTTCAAGCTTCACTCAGTGTCAAGGTTTCCGTGTAGGTCGCGATGCCACATCCTCTGATTGGACGCTACTGCTCACGTGTCTATAGATAACATAGCTATAAGTTCGGAAATTGTGAAGTAAACAAGCAACGGCCAGATGTTATAAAACTCACAGTCGTTGCTTCAGGAACATGAGCACTGCATGGTGTTACATATTTGATTTGGTTGCCTAACTGCATAGTGCTACAATTGCTGGGGGTAGTGCTCATGAAATGACAACGTAGTCCACCGATTCAAGATTAAACCCATTACAAATGTTGTAGTTGATTAAATCGGGTTTTTTAATGGCAATATTATTTTCAACAACATTTAGCTATTTCCGGACTTAAACAAGTATTATAACTTTCACTCCAATGCAATCCATCTGAACAACTCTGGGCGGTTAGTACACCATTTATACACACTTGAAATTTATCACAGTCAGCATGACGTCTAAATCCATATTCTCCTACTATACATTCTGTTAAATAAACATTCAAGGGGATGAAATAAAATGAAATGAAATGGGGTTTAACGTTCTAATGATCTGCTCCTACTGGGCTAATGAAGACGGGCATACGCCATACAGTGTGCTATGGGAGGAATTTTGTCTGGGCAGCGGCACTATGGCCTACTCTTATATCCAATTCCAACTGCCTGACTAGACAGTTGTCCTTGTCGGACTCTCCGTCCTGCACCACTGACAAGGGAACACCACGCCGGTTAGCGGAACCGGGAGCCACGGTGGCTAAGTGAGAAAGACGCTAATTGGCTAGTTTGGAGGTCGCTGGTTAGATCCCGGTGGTGGGGGGATGATTAGTACGTGCGCGCTGCATCATAAGGCGTGTCATTGAGTATACTAGCGTGGTGTCGATTACCCGGTTCTACGTGACAAGGAGTCGGGTCGCCTGTCCAACCTCGTTGGTTTTCTCCGGGTCCTCCGGTTTGCTCCCACTACTAAAGATCCCTACGCACAAGCGAATTATTGAAATAAAATTGAACCATATGTTAGTTCCGAAATGACCTAGTTTGTGTCGAGTGGCCGTTAATGTCATTTTTCACCACATGTTTGGGTAAGACACAATGTCTTTGCAGAGAAGCGTCACCATATGTTTGGTGCAATATAGCCCGGTTGGAACTGATGTGCTATAAAACTCTATTTCATTCAATCGTTATTTTTTTTTTTTTTTTTTTTGGTGGGGTGGGGGGTTGGGGGGGGGGGGGCAAATGGTCTAGAGTGTCGCGCTTCGACCTCTAGCTGGCCGGTCACCTCTGGCTTGCGGTTGTGGTTTCGATCCCTGGTGAGAGCGTATGTGGCTTGAATATAGAGGCTCCTTTCTCAACATTGTGGGTTTACTCCGGGTAGTCCGCTTTCCTCCCACAGGAAAGTCCCCTGCGCGTGTGCTAAGATAATGAAAATAAAAATAAGACAACTTGTCTGCGATATCACCTTCGGTGGAAGTGGACGTTAAAACACTAAGAACAACAACATTCATTAATTAATATATGCAATATACAACTAACATTTCCAGACAGAGGTATACGAAAACGATAAAATTCATTTCTACCTGTAGAATCATCTGGTGAGCCTGATATTTGTGATGTGCATCCGGCAGTCTCCGGAGTTAAACAGGTATTCTGATCCGCACTCCAGTGCAATCCAGTTGAACAACGCGACACAGTCGCATCACCATCTACACAGATTTGGAATTTGGAACAATCAGCGAGACCAATAAACCGATATTCTCCAACTTTACACTCTTCTGAATAGACATTAAGAAAAATAAAATGAATTTTAACGTCCTAATACTAATGGCTAATGAAGGCTGTCGGTGTTTCTTGTACGTGCACGCTTTTGAGTACATGGATGAACCTCGGTTTTTTGGTCCCATCCGACGACTAGACACCTGTCCCTCCGTCATGTACCACTGACAATCGAAAACAGGCTAAAACATCTCATGGAACATGCTCGATCAACTCCGGGAACGCACGTAGGACTATACTCACTGAGCAACCTTGGTCTAGAGACATTCAAGATTATGGAATTTTCGGGGGGTTGGGTGGCCGAATGGTTAGCACGTGCGCGCTGTATCACAAGGCCTGTCATTGAGTTAACTGGCGTGGTTTCGAATCCCCGGTTGTACGTGACAAGGAGTAGGGTCGCCTGTCCAACCTCGTGGGTTTCTCAGGGTTCTCCGGTTTCCTCCCACTGCTAAAGACCCCTACGCACAAGCAAATTATTGAAATAAAATTAAACCATATGTTAGTCCCGAAATGACCTAGTCTGTGTCGAGTGGACGTTAAACCCCATTTCTCTCTCTCTTATGGAATTTTCACAGAAATCCCGGTTACTGGAAATCATATCCAAGCTAATAGGAAGAATATAATTCTTTATACCAAAAACAATCTATCAAGCTACTTCAAATAAAAAGTTTCATTCAAATCGACAAATTTCAAAATATTATCGATTATGTATTACACCTATAATGAAGTGTACACGTGTTGGGAGGGATTCGCTAGCAGGATCTCTATGGTGATACTTCATATCCAGTAGTTTCTGTAGGATATGACTTAAACACATTATACACGATCTAAATCAGCCTATTGCTGGTATTTCTTTAGGCTACTATATTCTCTAGGATATGACTTTTATGCAAGAGCTAAATTTGTTTGTTGCAGGTCTTTCTTTCGGCATTTTAATGTAATCTAAACTATTAATTAGACATTAATTAACATGAAAAGACCATAATCAACTCTCGATATCATCTTATGTGTCAGATTTTCATTGGACTTGAATCCGATCTGCTGTTCAACGCCCATTCATGATTAACCGCAAAATGACAATCGAGGCAACGACGATGATTTTAAAATAAGGGAAAAGTAAAGCAATGTGACTGAACTTTTCAGCATATTCCCTTTACATTACCTACTTTTTAACTATTTTAGTGAGATGAGAAAGGCCAGCTCTTTATTTAATCTCCCATAATGTATCTTTAAGTACAGTTTCCTTCTAGTATTCCTGGCATTGGGTGGCTGAAAGTACTAGCATGCGCTTTAGATCATAGGGTCTGCTCTTGAGTCAAGTGGTGTGGTTTGGATCCCAGGGTACGATCGCCGGTCCAACCTCATAGATTATCCCCTCGTCATCCGAGTTCCTTCAACCGCTAATAACCCCTACGGGCAAGCGAATTATTGAAATAAATTTAACCATATGTTAGTCCCAAAGTGACCTAGTTGTGTCGAATGAATGTTAAACCCTATTTCTCTCTCCCCCTTTAATTAAAATATTTACCTGATCGGTCAACAGAAATCAACAAGATGACCACCAAGACGTTAATGATTGATATATACATCTGTGAACAATTCGTCATAATGTGATACAAGCCAACTGAAGACTTAAATCACTGTGTTCTACATTCTTATACCCCACACTTCTTATAATATACATTACGTTAGTTCCGCCTCTTGAATTGTTGTCCAATCAAAATCAACAGTTTCCTTTCAGAGCTCGATGCCCCGCCTATTGGGCGGGATTGGATGCGCGTTGTATCATAAGGTCTGTCATTGAGTCAACTGGCGTGGTTTCGATTTCCTAGTTGTACGTGGCAAGGAGTAGATTCGCCTGTCCAACCTCGTGCGTTTTCTCTGGGTCCTCTGGTTTCCTCCCACTGCTAAAGATCCCTACGCGCAAGCGAATTATTGAAATAAAATTGAACCGTGTGTTAGTCCCGAACTGACCTAGTTTGTGTCGAGTAGACGTTAAACCCCCTCTCTCCCTCGCCTATATTTGAACACGTGACATTTTGAGGCCAATGCAAAGCTGCTCGAAACATTAGAATTTATTTTGACAGCATATATCTAGAATTAAGTTGATTCCTTTCATAAATCGATTTCCGCGATTTTCCTGCCTCTGATAAATAGAATACCGCCTCCAGCATTATTTAGTTTACGACATGTGTGGCAATATCGATTCACAGAGAGCTCTCGAATTTATTTGAATTTAATACATATATGTATGTTATCTGATTTTATTTATGTATAAAAAATTATTAGTCTGTAGTTTATTTTCTAGTATGATAACTTCTTCATTGTTGATGTTTAAGCACATCCGGTAGATGCCTTTATTTTTCGTTAAAACAACTCTATAAAATCACAAAACTTCCTTGTGTAAACTTTATTATGACGTATATAAAGTTTGGCAACATCTCGCGCTTTGATCTGGCGATGTTGCAGATACTAAAATAATGATCAAAGTTAAGCTATATGAAACAGGGTAGGGAATAAAATATTTTATTAATACGTTTGTTGTAATAAAATATTTTAAAGGCGCTAAATCTCTAACTCAATATTATGCATAATCTTCGATATTAAAAACACGAATTGGTTTTTAATACTGGTTCATTTCAAGCTTACCGTGAAAATATGGGAAAATAATCTCCAAAATTTAAGACACAATTTTAAAATCCTGAAACGCTACATGGTGTCTTTGAAGACTCTGAATTCTATAGTCATACTAAACTTAGACTGTCTTTCTACAGTTAGCTTCGCTTGAGAACAGACATTAAGCTAGTTGACCGACATTTTAAGTCCTGAATCAACGATTTTAGTCGAAAACACTAAGTATACTTCAAGAATTTTGTTGAGTATTTATTCTAGTTGCATTTAATAAAATTGAATAAGTTTATTTATTCTTTGTGTGTATAGCAAATGTGAAATTTTATAAAATTGAAAGAAGCTTATTTAGTCTTTGTGTGTATGACAGATGTGAAACGGACGTATATTGTCGTCGCCCCTGTCCGTCCGGACGTCCGTCCGTCCGTCCACAATTTGTTTGTGGACTCTCTCAGTCACAATTCTTGTCCGATTTTGACGAAACTTGAAGTATAGGTTAATTATCCCCAAAAGATCTCGGCTGGATTCGATATTGGCATGTATCGGATCGAAACTTCATGGATTATGGCCCCTGTTTGTACGAAAAATCACGTTTTTAGCTTGTGGACCCTATAGATGTCACAATTTTTATCCGATTTTGTTGAAACTTGAAATGTAAGCATATCGGACTGTAACTTCCTGAATTATGGCCCCTGATTGTACGAAAAATCGCGTTTTTAGCTTGTGGACCCTATAGAGGTCATAATTTTTATCCGATTTAAAAAACCGTATTATTATATCACCGTTACACCCTAAGGACGATTGAGTTCAAGGGGGGAGGGGGGAAGTAAACTGATGACACAAATTCAAAAAATGTATATTGTTGCTTTAACATTTTATTCACAGTTTCCATTAAAATCATAAAATAGCCATTTTATTTAATTTCGGGTTTACCCGAGTGGTGTTTTCTGAAATTAGATTAATAAACCATTGAATACTATGTTGTTTTCAAATACAAATTATAAACATGAAATTAGCAAAATAACTGAATACGTGTTAGTATTCCCTTATTTATTGCAGAACACGGACTCTTTCACATTTTGGGGGGTTGGATGGTTGAATGGTTAGCACGTACGCGCTGTATCATAATGTCTGTCATTGAAACAACTGGCGTGGTTTCGAATCCCCGGTTGTACGTGACAAGGAGTAGGGTCGCCTGTCCAACCTCGTGGGTTTTCTCTGGGTCCCCCGGTTTCCTCCCACTGTTAAAGACCCCTATGCGCAAGTGAATTATTCAAATAAAAATTAAACCATATGTTAGTCCCGAAATGGCCTAGTTTGTGTCGAGTGGACGTTAAACCCCATTTGTCTCCCTCTCTCTCTTTCACATTTTCAACCTCATCATATCAAAAATACTGTATGAAATCTCCATGTGTTTGAGAGAGAAACGGTGGCTCAGTGGGTAAGTTCATCTGTAATAATTATGCCATTTAAAATTTACCGAATTTCGATTAATGATTATCTCGGCAAACTTCAGCTGATTCCAGTACCCTACTTCTAGCCTCGGCTGTATGACGAAGTACGCCGTTGGAACTACTTTCAAGTTCCCGTATTATCATACAAATATTTCAAAGTCTGAAACTGTTTTTCTTTCAAGTATATCCGATTTTCTTCAAACAAGTACAACTTTGCACTGAAAATTCTACACTCGCTTGATAACTTCTTTTTTAAAAGCGGCAAGTGTTCCTAATAGGTAAACTGGTGCAATTGTATAGGCGTACATATTGTACATATCACTTACCGTCATAAAGCCGAGGCTAGATGTAGAGTAACGGAATCTGCCGAGGTTTGCCGAGTGTCGCAGGTCAAATAAATGAAGCAAGATGGCGACAATATACGTCAACATTAAATGTTGGCGTATGAATATCAACCGGATGTAACTTTTATACACACCTGTCTACAGGAAGAAGGTAAATCAAAAACGGCAGGATCCTTGATTCCAAGTGATATGTTTACATAACCAATAGAGTGCATACTCGGTGCTAAAAAAAATAAACAGTTAACATCTATATATATATATATAGTATACTCGTATAAAATCACGGTATACTAGTCTGCCTATTCTTGGTGTTAAGAGAGCATGTAAGTTATGTAAGAGCTAAATCTGCCTATTGCAGGTTTTTCTTTGGGCCTGAAATGTTTTCTAAATTATTAATTAGACATTAATTAACTTATCCAGACCATAATCAACTCTCGATGCCATCACTAGCCTGTGATATTTAATGGATTGGAATACATTTTGTGAAAAGAAATTACACATACGTTATGCAAGAGGTAAATCTGCCTATTGCAGGTATTTCTTTAGGTCTTAAATGTTATCTAAATTATTAATTTGACATTTATTAACATGACAATACAATAATCGACTCCCGATGCCATATGGTGGGTACGTGACACGGAGTGGGGTCGCCTGTCCAATCTCGTGAGTTTTCTCTGGGTTCTCCAGTTTCCTCCCACTTCTAAAGACCCCTACGCACATGAAGTAAAACGGAACCGTATGTTAGTCCCAAAATGACCTAGTTTGTGTTGAGTGGACGTTAAACCCCATTTCTCTCACTCCCTTTGTGTCTTTGAGTCACGTGGCGTGGTTTCTATCCCCATCCCGGTTGTATGTGACAAGGAATAGGGTTGCCTGTCCAACCTCGTGTGTTTTCTCCGAGTCCTCCGGTTTCCTCCCACTGCAAAAGACCCCTAAACGCAAGCGAACTATTGAAATAAAATTAAACCATATGTTAGTCCCGAAATGACCTAGTCTGAGTTGAGTGGACGTTAACCCCCATCTCTCTCTCTCCCTTTCTCTCCCTCCCTCTCTCTCTCTCTCTCTCTCTCTCTCTCTCTCTCTATCATTGGGTCAACTGGCGTGGTTTCTATCACCAGCTTATCCGTGACCCTGTGCACTGGTGCCTGTCTCAATTTCCTCTTGCTGAATTCATCAGGAATAAATTAACATATAAACTAAACTTACAGCCATTTGTACTTCCTCTTAAAGATTCAAATATGGGAATACAGTCTTCAGGGGTACCAATAACTGTCGTTACTGTGTTATTCATCGTAAATTGGAAGGAGACACCTTCTAGAGTATTGGTCCCAACACCAAGTTTAACATTTCCTTGAGATACAGCGTCAGCTGTAAAAACAAATGTCCAAAATAATAAGACGTGTTTCAAAGGTTAGTGCTAAAAGATAAGGACAGCTAAATGTTTCGCCATAGGTCACGAGATGTAAAAAGGGCAAGAGCTAATCCTAATCCCAACCCTAACCCTGGACCTCGCCCCAATACTAGAATCTCGCCAATAATCACGTGCCCTAACCTTATTTACATCTCAAGGGACTTGACAAAAATTGAACCGGGCTTAAAAAAAATTAGATTTAGACGTGTTTCAAAGCAAAAATACAAAACGAAGATTCATGTTTATTCTCTTGAAAATGTAACTTAGGTTCGAATCCGAGCACATGTCTCGAAGATAATTATCATGGCTGATCAGGTGGGACACAAAAACGAGGACAGCACGTTCACAAATTTCTAGTGCCCCTAAAAGAACCCACGAGAATTGGGAATGGACAACTAGGCAAATACGCCTAGAGGGAGAGATGTAACTTTTCTTTTGTAATCCCAGAGTGAATGACTAGATTTCGTTGCCGTGCTATACAAATACTAGTGCATCGCTTCTGGCAGGTGTGTGAATTTCTGGATTCCAAGTCTGTCGCTACAGACCTTTCCGTCGTTGATTCTCAATGAACTGGGTTCATGACGTCTTCGCACATGCATGCCCCCAGCTCCAGCCTTAGCAAATTCCTGGCTACGCTACTGACTTCAGTTGTGCATGAATTTTATGTGGATTCCATTCTTCATAATACTAATATAAATATCGCTTTTATCGCAATGATTAAAAAATGTTTCTGGTCTATTAGGATTCCTCTTCTATTAGTGTTGGGGGTTGGGTGGCCGATTGGTTACCTGCTTAGTAATGGACTCATATAAACAACCCT